TCTCAAAGGAAACATAAACTAGTGATATTTTAATGTCCCCCAAAAGAATCCGCCAAGTATCTTAAATCCCGAGGGAAACAAAAATTATTCGATATTTTTACTTAGTCATTTTGGCTTGGCATCCACCGTGGGCACTCAAGAAACCTGCAATGACCCCCGAAAAACGCCTTACTTCTTTTGCGTGTGTTACGAAGAGCAAGAGCAAGCAGATGAAAATGTCAGAAAGGGGAACAGTGGCGGTGGGAGAATAATTTCCCGCTGTCGCGTGGCGCGGTGGCGTTGTGCGCGCCGCGTCGTGTGAACGGTCTGCCGGCCGCCTCCGAACGGTCGTCTCTCTCGCACTCGTGGGGCGCGCCGCCGGGGTGCGAGAGAGACAGAGCGACGAGCGGTTTCGGAATGGTCCGACTGGTGCAGACGCCGCGAGCGGGGCGCCACAAGCGGAGCCCAGGCGGGTGCATCACTTTCGCTTCTGTGATTGTATGCGTGCTTGTGCAGTCCGTGTGAGCAGCAACGGCGTCTGTCTGTCTGTCGGAAGCGCACGCTACGGCCGGACCACCGCGGGCACCCACCGTCTCTCTCTTGTCCTTACGCGACGGTCAGTGAGTGCGGCAGAGACAGAGCGACCACACGGTCCTTCGGAACAGCTCGGCAGGCGGCGCTAAGCCGTCGGGAGTGATGGCTCGGCGCCTATCGGCCGATCCGCGGCCGGGAAGGGGACCGACCGGACCGCGCCGGACTGCCGCGGGGAAAACGCGCCAAAGACGATGCACGCCCCTCTGTTGCCTCAGTCTCATTTAAAGTTCGAGCGGTTTGCAGTAAAACCGCCTCACGCCAGCTAAAAATGACAGCATTCTATTGACAACAATACACTCAAAATTGCTGAAATATTAATAGGGGGAAAAATGGCTGGAAGAAGGCTGAGTGTTACCATAGGCGAGAGAGAAAAACATGTTTTCAAAATGTTTGCAAAATTGAAATTATAAGGAATTCTTGATACTATGAATAGAACAGCCCAGGGAATTTCAGGCGATTCACTTTCATCCGATTATTCCTTTTTCCAAACCGGGTGAGAACTTTACTTTCATTCAGAGTAAGGTCGATTTCGTTCTTCTACGAAAACATTGAAACTAATATCTAGCTTAAAAACACTCATGTGAATTGCCGGCTCGCACGAGCGTGTTCAATTTTGTCAGGCAGTAGGTCAGACAAAAAGTAAAAAAATTAAGAAAGGCGAAAAATGTTTGCCGACAAGGAAAAAACGCGGCGTGCGAATGCATGGCGGGGCCTGCAGTTATTGCCGCTGTTGCAACCGTAGCAGTTAAAGGCGGGGCGAGTGGGCACGGAGCGAGCACGTCGACCTCCCCCCTCCCCCTCTCCTTTCCCCTTTCCCTTCCGGTCCTTCGCGACGTCCTCCACACTGCCGGATGCGAATGTGAATGTGGTGCTGCTCTGGTTGTGACGCCGCCTAATTGCCGTGCTGCACTCGGATTGCGGTTCGCTGCGCCGCGCGCCCGGCCGGCTAGGCAGTGCCGGCCTGCCCGCCTGGGCAATTGAGTAAAACACGGCGCATGGAGTGGTTGCGAAAAAGACTGGCCACCGCGCGGCGTGGCGGCGCGCCTTGGCCGCCCGCCGCTGCTATTCCGCCCCGTTTATCATATCGGCCCGCTTCGGGTTGCGCAGGGTTGCTTTGGTTTTGCCGGCCGACGGTCAGTCGGAATGGGCAGTGGCGGCGGCTGTCGTGATCCAGAAGGGCGAGGCGCGTTTTCAAGTATGCAGCAGCGTCATCTATGTCAAAAGTACTTTTCAAAAAAGAAAATTGCGGGTTCCAAAAGAAGAGACCTGTACTTCAAGCTAATCCACACAAATTTTTCATAGAAAATAGACGTTGTTTTAAACTTTTTTCTTTATTTAAAAACCTTACTCTTTTGTATTTTTTTACCCCTTTTACCTTTTTTAGGCTTTTTGTTTCTTAACCTGTCTTTACTTGTTGCCTTTTTTTTACTTCTTTTCATTTTTTTAAACTTTTTCTTTTTAAAGAAATGTACATTAACCTCATGATGCTTCTTTTTCTTTCAAAAAAAAAGCGCACATGTTATGAACAACTAACCCTCTGCTCCGAAAAAAGCGTAGTCTTTTTCTCTTTCTATCTTTTGCCGGCGCTGTCGGCGCCAGTGAGTTGATTGAGTCGTCAGCGCCCCCCGACCTTTCTGGCCGCGGCGCCATGGCGGAGCCGAGCCCCGGCCGGTGCAGTCGGTCGCGCCGTCTGCCGGCGTCGTCGGCAAGGTCACGGTCGCATCCTCGCTCGCTCGGGCTTTATAGGCCTGCCGGCTCGCGACTGGTTTTTCGGGGTGGGCGTCACACATTCATTCTGATGGCGCGGAGAGAGGAGACTTTTTATCGATAAGCTGATTATGTCGAAGGATTAATGTGAGAGAGGAAGGAACTCTGCTGAAAATTTTGCTGTTAAAATATCTTCAGTCCTGGGGCTAAGAATAAAAATGGTTTGTATGTGAACTTAATTTGAATCCATTTATATATCCTCTCATTAGTTATGTGAAAAATTAAAAAAAAAAAAAAGAAAAAAGAATATTGAGGTTTCCTTACTTTGAAAATAATAAGTAAGGGCCTCTTCTGACAAAAGGGGTTCTAAATTTTCAAAATTGTCAATGTTTAGTTTTGTGACAGTCTTTACACGGCAAGGTGTGTAGTGTGTACTCGTCCGTGAGTGACGCATCACCGGAGAAGGGGGAACCCCCCCGCGTGCGACCGAGCAATTCGCCACGGCAAACATTCGGACGACGCGGCGCCGAACATGTGTGGAGGGCGTCGATCCGTGAAGCGGCGAGGCAGCGGCGCATCGGTCTTGAGGATGGTCAGGGCCGAGCCGAGTCGAGTCCAGCCGAGACGGCGAAGAGCGCGGCGCTCACCTTTCTCCGGTCTCGGCCAAGGCGACTGTGTGTGTGTGTGTGTGTGTGTGTGTGTGTGTGTGCACACGGGTTTTGCCGCGGGAGATTCCTCCTCGCCACCGTCGTGGGTGCGAGAAGGCTTGTTTTGTTCCTTTTTGCGGCCATTGTGAATCGCCGTACATGTCAAAAAGTTTTCTCTGAAAATCTCAGGAGTAAACGTAAAGGCCCGGTAAAGGTAAAGCAACGGGAAGCTGGAGTTTTCGACGGAGTAACGGGGCGGCCGGTTACGTCGCGGTTGTCGCGCTCCGTCTCATATTCGTCACCGACCCGCGTCGTGCGGGGCGTGACCCCGCCACGGACACGAAGTCCGTGTTTGAGGTCTAAAAAGCACCAGGAAAGGACGCGGAAAATGAGGCACTCTGCTGCCCTTGCGTCGGCTTTTTGGGTGGCTTTCGTCATGACCCCTGCCTGCGATAGTGTGTGAAAGCCTCGCAGGTTTCTAACCGGTTGCGAGCCGCGCTGATTCCGCTCTGCGGTGCCGACGGCGCTGACAAGGCGACACGCTCTCGTTAGTGAAAAGCGGGAATAATGAAGAGTGAGGCGCGGGGCGAATTTGCCCCGTTGCTTTGTTGCAATTGAAAAAGAACGAGTGTACGACGAAGATACGCAGACGCAGCAGAGACAGGTAACCTGTGGTTTTAGCGTGAATGGGATCTTCATTTCAGGATACAGGTGGTAGTAGAACCGTTTGCGTCAGTTCAAGAATTTCACTCTGAAAACCTCACTACCAAATTTAGGTCTTACAAAGAAAAGTGGCTTCTAAGGACGAAGTACTATATGTAAACAAAAGCTTACAACAAAGAAAATACTTCGTAACGAACTACTCTTTTGTATCACAAACTCAAAAGATTGTATCTTACATATTTGCTCAAAATACTTCCTGAGGTTTGAAGCGTGTTTATAGAACTTTTATGTGAATAACTAATCCAGCTATAAAAGTCGTGCAAGATCACTTTTGAATTGTATGGTGTGTTGCTGGAGCAGTATATTTTATTAAGTTCACCGTCTAATAGAACGCAAGGAACGAGCAGGGGCAAGCGGACAAAGGGATTAACTCATAAGGAGCACTAACGGAAGGCACTGCAGCGAAGAAGGGATGCAAGAAAAGGAGCTGAAAGAATGAGAGGAATAAATGAAGAGTGAAGAAAGCCGAGAGAGAGGGGCTACTTTGTTTTCTCCCGGCTGCACTGTTTGCATGCCTCGTCGTGCCTGTGGCCGTGCCGGCCGTGCCGGGCTGCATAACGATATGCAGTTAATTGAAAACAATTACTGCAGCCTCTGTTTTTGCGCACGAGCGACACGCGTTCCTGCCCGACCGATATCGTACAGTGTCATTAGCTTTCCGGAACAGGGCGAGTCCGTTCGGGCGTGGCGCCGATCTTGTTTGGACGATTGGCTCCGAGCGTGTTCGGCTATCGCCGGGTTTCGGAATGTGTTCGGGAAGTGACGCCTTGGATTTCGGCCTCGGCCGACGATGTCCGGTTGCGCGCCGCGCCCCGCCACGCGTCGGACCTGATTTACAGTCTGCTAGCCTGGATTGCGCCTGGACGGTTTGAATCAGATTCGTGATTGCGCTGCTTGGCGGGGCGGTCAGCTGTCTGCGCCGAGCCGCGCAGGGCTGCCAGCCCGTAATAAGTCATTGTTTGTAATTGCGGTAAAGAGGGCCTTATTATGTGCCGCGTCTGTCACGAGCATCCGCGCGACGTGAGGGAAGGCAATGCGGAGAGTAGGAAGAAATAATGGTGAGTTGGAAACCTCGAAATGGATGGGTGCCGTTGGAAGGTGTGGAAATGAGTGGGCATAAAAGTTGAGTTCAAACGACCTGAACTGCTAGTAAAAGTTGTGTTGACTGTAGGGCACTTTTATTGGTCGGGTTAATGCTACGTTGTACTGAGGAAATCAAGTAAACTGAAGTCAGTTGACTGTGGCAAGTCAGAAAAGGCTCCACTTTTAATTGGAGATCGTGAAAAGGGAGGGGCACATTGCGCATGAGGTCGGCCGAAGGACGTGAAATTGATTCGACAAAATGCTCACCTTGTGGTCCCACCGCCGAGGTATTCCAGGGGCGTATCCAATCCGAGTGGAGGGCAATTCACATGGCACCTCCTGACCAGAGGAGGATGCCGTCCACACACTTTGTTGCACTGCACCAAACCTAACCACGAATTGCAATGACTTTCTTTTAAAGCGATCGAAAATGATCCAATTCAAGGATGTTGCACAGGGCTGTTGTCGGTGGCTTCCAGGTGGTCACTTTTAATCCTCATGCGTTGTAGATTATCCGTGTCATTGGGCTGGCTTGCACTTTTGGGGTGTCACGGGGTCACTGAACAACACACACACTCTCGCGGTCAGGCACGCGGCGCGGTCGTGGTGCACTTCGGCTCGCCACGGAGCGACCCCCGCGTCACTCGCGGCTCGAACAGACTTGGCGCGGGGCTACAGGCGCACTGGCGGACCGCTACCGCCAGCGCGCCGCCGCCGCCGACGGCCTACCGCCCCTCCACCCGCTCCCCTCCCGCAGACCGCTGCAGTGGTCGCGCGCCAGCAGACTGACTCCGAGTGGGACGTGTCTCTCTCGCGCTCGCGGAGCGCTCCGTGCCGGTGCGAGGGGGACAGACCGACGGCCGGACTGTGCGGAATCAGTCTGCGGGGCCCAGCCGCGCCCTGCCTCGCCCAGCGACACCGGCAAGGGCCCCGCAAGGGCCCCGCAAGGGCCCCGCAAGGGCCCCGCCTGCATGGGCGTAAGGACTCGAGTACCTCGGCTACACCGTCCCAACACATACATTACCTTCTTTACTGCCCCCACAAAAATGTTGTCTCGGGCTGGGGGGAAATGTGGTATTAATATTGTGACAAGCCATTTGTTTTGTTGTGCAAGACAGTCTCAGTCGGTAAATTTTTTTGCTAGGATTATTAAAACTTTGTATTTTAACTTAAAAGTTCCTTGAAAAAAAAATACCCTTTTTAAAAACAAGTTAGTAACATTTTTTTTTTGCTAAAGTTTTGTTGAGGAAGGTTTGCCGTCAATTAAATGCCCACCTTTCCTCCGCTCCTTTGTTTTAATCCCCGTGAACCTCACTTGCCTCGTGCGTCAATTACTATCAGCGCACCTTACTATTCCTGTAGTCACCTTTCAGAATGCCTTCACCTTTCCCGGTGCGAGACAAATTGATCGTGCCGAAGCGTGTGGTGATCTGAAACTTCTGTTGCAGTACGTGTGTGTGTGTGTTTGTTTCTATGGGATTGTGAGTGCGTCTCTAAAACGTGTGTGTTACTGGTCCGAGCCAGGAATATAACAAGCTTTGCGATCGTTGACATGCCGCGGTGCCGGTCTGGTTCTGGTCTAGACTCTGTGTGTGTGTGTGTGTGTGTGTGTGTGTGTGTGTCGGACAGGCAAAAGTCACGCTTTGCCGTGCTTTTGCGGCCTCATGTTTGTGTGGTCTCGTAAATTCAGGAGAACGGCGGTTTTGTTTTTTCTTACCTTCGCCGGTGAATGTGCCTTGGGCGAAGGTGTGGCGGGGCGTGGCGTCGAGATCCTGGTGGGGGCCTGACTGCTCAAGGGCGGCGGCGGTGCCGGGCGGTACGCCGGGCGGTACGGCACCGGGGGTCGGGGCTTTTTTTTAGGGATCGCGCATAAATTAGCTGGGCTAATTGGAGCTGCAGACACTCGTTGCGAAAGGGTGCTGCATCGATTTCCGGCGGCGTCGATCCGGCGCGAAAGCGTGTCGCCTTTTCGCCGCTGTGGGGTGTGTGTGTGTGTGTTGGTGTGAGTGAGTGTGTGTTGGTGTGAGTGTGTGTTGGTGAGAGTGTTTGTTTGTGTGAGTGAGTTTAGGGTGAGTGGGCGTAGCGTCGCGGATAGTGCGGCCGTAGTGAATGGAACAGCCGAGCAACGACCACGACGGACCACAATAAAGAAAAAAGGAACGTGTAAAAATTTTAATATTGTCCGTCAAATGAGGGAGAGACTAGTAGTGGGATGATGGGCGGTGGTCTGTGTGTCGTGGGTAAAGTTCGCTGCATTAGAAAGTGTGTGTGTGTGTGTGTGTGTGTGTGTGTGTGAATTAGTGTCAGTGTCGTCAGGGCCGCTAATTGTGTTGCGCTTCGCACGTTAGGCCCTCGCTGCGCTGTGCCGCGCCATTGTGCCAGCGGATGCCTTCTTGCTCCAGATCGTTGGGCTGCGACCGTGAATCTGGCGGGCCGTGTGGCGACGTGGGCGCGCTGCTATCGCGATGCCGCGGAACGGCGCTAAGTGTATCGATACCCTGGCGGAGGTGACAGCCGAGAAGGCGTTGCCTCGAAGGCCGCGGAGAGCGGGCAAAATTTAGCTCTGAACGCAGGCACGGATTTCTACTTTGTGGCTGCAACGGACGAGTGACTGAAAGGGATTCGGCCGCGCTGTGGGCCCGGTGGAGGCGGTCGAAACCCCCGACGCGTTTTGAGCTCCAGAGTGCTAAATGAGACCCGAACCGTACGTGTGACCCAACCAATGGATTGCTCTCCGAACGAGGAATCCATTGGTGGGGTCACACGTTAGGTTCTGAGTCCTGTATAGCGACTCTGAAGCTCGAAACGCGTCTTAAGTTTCGGCCGCCGCCACCGGTCTTCTGGCCCACTGAGCGCTGAGCGTCGCACCGAAGGCCCTGCTGGTCATTTCGTTGACCTCGCTCGGCGCCCCGCCACGCCCTGGGTCGGTCCCGGGGTCCGTATTTTGGCTTCGCGTTACCGAGCCGCGGCGCGGGCAGCCGCGCATTTCGTTTTTGCTGCCCCCACTCCGGTGCGACAACAATGGCCACCGGCTCGCTGGCTGACCCCCAGCAGCACTCTGGATATGGGTCAATATCGATCAAAATTGGTCGATAGGTATCGAAACGGGCGTTGCGCCACGCGGCCGGCCAGTAGTTGGCCGGGTGCGTGGCGGCCGCGCCCGCCGACCAGTGACACTATTTGAAGCTGTCGGCTGGTGGGAACGGAGCGGGAACCATGTTGGAACCACGGCCTCGTGGGAAGTGCTTCTTGTGACCCCGGCGCCCTCTGGGGCTCGCCGCGGCCCTCTGGGGTCGGGCACGTCGTGCGGATGGAAGTCTGGAACTGGAGTGTGTCCGGTCCGGAACGCAACACGTAATGGCTGCGCGTCGGCTCGGGTCCTACCGATGGCGCACGTGATAACAGCACCACCGCACAGTGGGCCAGAAGACCGGTCGAGGCGGACAAAACTCAAGACGCGTTTTGAGCCTTAGAGTCGCTTAGTGGGTCCCGAACCGAACGTGTGACCCCACCAATGGATTGCTCTCCGAACAAGGAATCCATTGGTAGGGTCACACGTCCGGTTCGAGTCCTATTTAGCGACTCTGGAGCTCAAAACGCGTGTAGAGTTTTGGCCGCCGCCACCGGACTTCTGTCCCACTGTGCACCGGGACGTAGGGATGAGCGATGTGTGGCGCTGCGTTTTCGCACCGGACGAGAATCATTAGGGCTTACACTTGACCCACATGCAGTACGCAATTTTCCGTTGAGGCGAACGCGAAAAAACAGTGACTCTGATTCTTTTTTTGTGGTTCGGAATGCGAGCCCGACCTTGCGCTGGAGAGTGTGTGTGCGGGCGCTCGACGAAAAGGATACTTTGAAGTGTCCCGTTGGCCGGCACTGCAGTTACTGTCGCTGGGTTGTACGTCTGGCTGACTGTGCAGTGCTGTGCGCCGGCCTCTGCAATCGGACTATATCTGTCGGCGGACATGCCGGCGCCGACCTTAGGCCTGCACCGAAGCCACGCCGTGGCCACGCCCTCCCTTTTTCTCGCCACTGTCCTTTCACTGGGGCCACGAGCCTGGTCGCGAGCCCGCCGGCCCGTTTTGTTTTGTGGCTGCAGCGCTAATAAGGGATTTTGTTGTCGGCCACAGTCTGGCCCGGCTGGAGTCTGTGCGACCCCCTGCAGTCCGGCACATTCCAGTCTGGCAAGGCTGGAGCCGGCGGCTGTCAACTTTGGCTGGAGTCGCCATCACGGTCCGGCCTGCCTTCTACTGTAGACGGCTGACTACAGTCTAAGTTGCCCCTGTAGAATCTGCCAGGGCCCAGTCTGATCCCTGAGCGTCAATAAATGAGGAGCTCGTATTTAATGGTAACAACAAAGGTTAATTTCAAACTGACTTACATAGACAAAGTGACAGCGGCTTAAATAAGTTATAGTGGGTTCGTAGCATGACATCAAGAGGGCCGTGATTGGCAGTGCCAACTTCAGAACTACAGCAGTCTGATCCCTCTGCGCAGGATGCCAGAAGACCGGTGGAGGCGGTCATAATCCCGGAGGCGTTCTGGGCTTCAGAGTCGCCAAATAAGATTCGAATCTAACTTGTGACCCCTTCAATGGATTGTTCTCCGAACGAGGAATCCATTGGTGGGGTTACACGTTAGGTTTGAGTCCTGTTTAGCGACTCTGGAGCTCTAAACGCGCTTTGCCTTTTGTTTGCCGTGTAGCTGTGAGGTGCAAGGGTGCATATCGCTTGCATGACGCGCTTGATCTGCTTGGCGGACTCGGCGCGCGCACGCCAGTGATTTACTGTGATGGGGTGCTCCCTTTTCCGGGACGCCCCTCACCGCCCCCCACATCTCTGACGCTGTGTGTGTGTGTGTGTGTGTGTGCCGCCACAGAATAGGAAACGCGATTTCTGCAATGGGCGCAGGTCCCTATGTCACCCCTGCTATCAGGGCGACAAGGCGAACGCAGGTTTTGCTCCGCCTTGCGTGTGTTTATGCGTGCCTGTCTTTGTGTTTGTGTGCCTATGGTTGGCGCTGCTTTGACGATTATTGTTTCTCCAGTGACGCAAGTCGTTTCGCCAACTGGCCCAGGCCGTGCGATACGCGAGGCGGTTTTCGCTTTTTGGTTCAGTGGAGAATGCCCGCGCCGCATGGGGCGTTTCGACAGCCACTTCACATCAATGTGGCCCAATCGCCTGCGTTTACATAGCCGACTGACTGTTTCTCGATTTTAACGTTTGAAAATGGGACACCGCATAAGTTGAGCATGACGACTGCACACTCACTGATGTTAGGCCCTGCCGTACAGAAGGTAGGCAACCACCGGGCTTATTATCTGCCTGGCCATTTTGGCGTGGACTGACCTTTTTGAAAGCGGCGCTGTGATTGGCTGGCGGGCTGCACTGATTGGCTGCCGCGGAGTGACAGTCATCGTCGCTGGAAATGAAAATCAAGTGTGTGTGTGTGTGTGTGTGTGTCGGTCACGATTCATTGGCATTCGATTGTCACTGTGTGTGTGCATTGTGACGTCTCTATCAGTGCCACGCATGCGGCTCGGGAGTAAGGCGCAACTGCCTTCGGAGAAATTGAGGGGATTGAATGAGTGAGCCACGCAACCCTCCGCGCGCATGTGTCTGTGTGTTTGAAATGGTATATCCTGGAAATGTAGTCAAATGTCATGGC